GAATTTCCATAGTGAGCAAAACCTCCCCTCCCCTAACCCAACCCCCCAAAAAGGAGAAATTTACATGTACAGCAAGGAAAAAACAAGCCTGGTAAGGTTTTACAAACCTTCAAGCACCCAATGCAGAGGAGGGTATTTGAAGCTAATTCCACCACACTGGTGCAGCAAAGATCCTCAGCTCCCATAGACCCATTTTGCACTGTTGCAACACAACAATCACCAGGATCTCTACTACTCTGAGGAACAAATTGAGTGTCTTCATCATGAACCACAGGATCATTGATGAGAATTGTGCTGCAACACACTATTTATTATGCATAGTCAGAACTTTCTGAGGGAAGACCCCATCCCACCAAGAAATTCAGATTTCTCTGCACACCAGCTGACAAAACCATGTAGCAGAAGCTAAGCTGGCACTATGTGGATCCAAAACAGGCCCACTTGAACCCCGTACCACATCTGTGACATGCTAGCAAGAGTCACTCTGCCTTTCTTCCCACCCCAGAAACTGTCACACAACTCCAAAATCTGCAGTTGTGATCTAAGAGACTTGTAGGAAATGGATGGTTCTGAGCACCAGCACAAACCACCTCAGCAGGCAGTGGTTAAACTCAGCATTTACTTAAAAGACGCACAACTGCTATATCCTCTTTTCCAGAAAATTCAGCTTTCTCCTCTTAAGTATCAAAATCCACTGTTTTGATCCATTGCTAGCAGGTCAGAAATAATATATCAACATCAATGAAAATTATTATAAATTAGAGATTCAGCACCCAGAAAGCACTAATGCTGTCCAGTGCAATTTTTTGCCAGTTACACAGTGACCAAAGCCAGAGAAATACCATCACCTTTAGAAATAGAAATCACATGCACAAAGACATTACATCTCAGAGCCTAAAAAACTATCAGTTCTATCAATTTCTTTCACTTCTCCTAACAAAAATCCTCACATATCACTGTAATAATATAGTTTGAACAAAAGCTTAGTTTACAACAAAGCTTTGGAACTCAGATTACCAGGCGATAAAAAAATGTTTTCCCCCTTGTAACATTACGGGTCCATGCCTATGCTGCTGCCACTGCACCATTACCTGTAACTCATGGTGATTTTCTGAACTCAGGGAATGTAAAACACAGAATTCTCACATGAGCATGCAAGGTCACACTCTGCATTAGCCACAGAAACTCTCTACCAAAAGCTAGAATTAAAACCAGTTTGTGTCCCAGCATATATCCTCACCTATGTCAAAACATGAAAATGAAATGACAAAGGACCTAATCTCACTTTCACAGAAGTCAGTAGCAAAGCTCCTGCTGACTTCAATAAGAGCAAAAGCCAGCACTAGATCTCCAAAAATCATTATTATTTCCTTCAGAGCACCAAATGCATTTCCTATCAGCCCCCTGAAGAAGGATGATGGTCTCTCAGCTTTCCAATAATATTGCCTCATATAGAAAAGCATCTCAGACTGCCAGTGCTAATCTAATGTCTATGACCACCTGAGGAATACAGTTTAACTTCAACATATAGCCTAGAGAAGAGGAATCAGTCTCCCTGTGGGAGATGAAAGATACATACCTGCAGTAACAACCCAGTGAAAACTTTGGAACCAACAGAAAAAAGTCTGCCATGTTTTAAGGAGAACTTTTATGAGTATCTCTTCCTCTCTGCACAATAAACAGTTAAGATTCAGGTAATAATATTTACTTCTATATGTACAAAAACTTCCTTAGATATTTAGCAGGAAATTTCTATCAGAAGTGACATACAAAGAAGTTTGACCAGATAGAAAACTATATCCTGAAAGTGATGCAGAAACACATTTTTATCCTCTATGGGTTTAAAAAATGGATAAAAGTGGAAACTCCATTACACAACTAAAAACACTTACTGTATGTTTAACCAAGCATATAAATTGCATTTTTGGAACTGCAGGAGAAACAAATGTCACTGGCTTCTAAACTGAATGTATTTATGAAAAAGAGATGAAAAGATAGTAACATAGTTCATTGTCTTTCAACAAGACTTAATAAAGGAAGCAAGACAAAATCTGTGCTTTTCAAGTACCTTTCCTCTTGAAGTCATTTGGAAACAGTCAGAGCAAGCATAAGTATTTAATCCATGAACACAGCAAAAAAAAAAGCTAAAGATCATCTTCAGACCCTCAGGATCTAGAGTCTTGACCACAGCATGTCATTTAAAACCAAGGCCATAGAAAATCCAACAAGAACCTACTAATTACACCCTCCTCTTAAGAGAGCTGCCAGCACACCTGCAACTACTTGATGGAACAAGCTCTGAGCAGAAAGTAACAGCAGCTGCTTCCTATTGTATAGGCTGGAATTAAGTTAAATTTGCCTTGCCAGCTACGCAGGAGAGATCAGCTTCACCTCATTAGTTACAGGTGCTACTTACTGACGTGGAGATGAAGGCATTCGTCTGGGAAAACACAGTTGGGACCTGAATCTGGGCTTTCCAATTCAACACTTGTTTGCAAAGAAATCAATAGAGCACAGAAGGATTATCAGCTGAAAAGGGAAGCTTTCTTTATGTTGCCTGTCATTCCCTTCCCAGTGCAAAATTCACATGTTCAAAATTCACAAATGAAGGTGTATAGAAATGCAACAGATGTCCAGTTCTATCTGCAACATTTTATACCATCTTTGGATCTCCATCTCAAAGCCAGTAACAGGTTCAGTTTAAAAATAAAAAAAAATACTGAAAAGCAGAATTGATTCCACAGGATAAGAGATAATAGCTACCTGGCCACAGCAGAGAAAATACAAACCTCCCTTGGAAAGGCAAAACATTAATACTTTAGTTACTGTTCAGCTAATTAACCCATACTACTGACAATGATCAGAGAATGATTATTCTGGAATATTGCACATATCCATTTCCTACTTTTTGGTATCAACAAAAGACCATCATAGCACCTTGGTGAAACATCCTTCTGCAATGATGTATCATTTTTACTGAGCCCTTGCATATTTTACATGTGTCCTAACTTAACGGCAATATAGGTGCCCCCAGTTTTCTTTCTTTGCTGAATTAAATTGAAAAGACAAAGCATTTGCCCTTGCTTGAGCAGCTACTTCACTCAACACACAAACGTAAAGGTAACTTAGTTCATACAGTTTTAATAGAAGTGAATTACTAAACAAGTTTTCTCTCCTAATATGAGATATGGAAATCAAATAAAAGGGAATCCACAAGTAATTTGCAAGTACTGTATCGCCCTCTGCAGTCAATGGGTAAGCTCTGCAAAATGAACCTGGGCACATCCCTTGCAAAGATCAATAAAAACCCTCCACAAGTAGAAACTCAGCAGAACTAACTTCTTTTATGAAAATATCTTACTTGTTGGAATCATAGGAACACAATGCAGAAACTTATTAGTCCTTGATATAAATGTTCCACCTGTTAAGGATGTGGAAAAGTATGTTCTGCTGCTCCTTCACAATGGATTAAATATTCCTTAATGAGACTTACAGCATTTACTCTCTTGGAATGCGACAGAAGTTAGCCATAGCCATTACATAACTTTTTTGTGGTTGCTTCTAATAAATATCCAAAATAAACCACACTTTTTAAAAGTTAGATTAGCTGATCCATCAACAACAGAGAAGTATATTTTACAGTTCAGGTATTGAACTACTTTATTTAACACAACTTATAACTTTAATAGGGCTTTTTGCTGAGATTTTTACAGCACTGTACTGGTTTCACTCTGGCTGGATGCCAGGCACCCACCAAAGTTGGTTTTCTATCACTCCCTCCCTTGAACCAGAGGGGGGAAGAAAAACACAACAGGTGAGCAGGAAGGTCATTCATCTATTACTGTCACAGGCAAAGCAGACTTGCCCTGGAGAAATAGACCAAATCCTTTACCAATGAAATCAGACTAGGATAATGGGAAAGAAAACCAAATCTTTAAACAACGTAGTGTTTGAATAGTGTTGCAAAAGAAAGTTAATTAAGACCACCTTTCTCCCTAATTCTTCACTTTCTCAACCTGTGATAGTACTCGAGGAAATGGCATGAACCTGAGTCAGGGGAGGTTTAGGTCAGATATCAAGAAAATATCTTCCACCCAGAGGGTGCTTGGACACTGGAACTAGCTCCCTGGGGAAGTGGTCACAGCACCAAATGTGTCTGAGTTTGCAAAGCATTTGGACAATGCTCTGGGGCACATGGTATGACTCTTGGGGTGCCCTGTGCAGGGCCAAGAGTTGGACTAAGTGATTTTCATGGGTCACTTCTAACTCATCAGATTCTGTAATTCTCTTGTTAACACTGATTGCACTGCATGACAAAACTACTTTCTATACAAGCACCTTCATTCCAACTCAGCTTATAACTGCTTGGGTTTTCTCCCCCTTGGATCCATGAATAGAAACTTTTTAAGCAAATACCAGATTTTACAGTATTTTTTTCTCTTAAAAACCTTTGAACTTTATGAACAGCATATCACCACTAAAACACATATGAAAGCAATGAAGATAAATTAACTCTTTTAAAATAAGATTAAACTTTTGAAGACCCATTCTTTTGCTCTCAGCAGACGGCTGAAAGACTCATACCACAAACATTCAAAGAAAAGTATTAAAAGCATTTGATGGTCTCACAGGACTGGTTTGGGTTGGAAGGGACATTAGACATCACCTATTTCTCACCTGATACCATAGGCAATAACGCAAATCACTATAGCACATTGCTCAGACACCCATACAACTCAGCCTCAACCACCTTCCTTTTACTATCACTCCCTAAGTGCCACTGAAAGTAATAAAGAAGTGCTTAAAAGCCCCACTGGAAAGGGGAGTAGCAGCTGGGGCGGGTCACTGGGGCTGTCCTCCCTCCCCGCGGCCTCGTTCCCCCGGCGACGCCCCGCCCGCCGCCGCCGTTGTTGCTCAGGGGCTGCGCGGTGTCCCCAGGCCGGGCCGGGCCCCAGCGAGCCCCCACCCGGGTCCCCAGCGAGCCCCANCCCGCCTGTGGGCCGGACACAGCCCCGCGCTGCTCGCCCGCCCCAGCGGGGCCCCGGGCAGCCGCCCTCTGGGACCCTCCTCAGCCCCAGACGTCGGAACCGGGACCGGCTCCCTGGGAATACCCAGAAGATAAGGCAAGGGTCCGAGCAGCCACGAGGACTGAGGAGAAGCATCTCTCAGCCGCAGCAGGACCCCCAGCGAGCACAGGACCAAAGGAGAAGTGTCGGCCACACGGGTGCAGCAGGACAAGCACGGTGTCGGTCACAGAGGCCAGTTCAACACCTCGGCAGCGCCAGCCGCTGCAGGTGCCACAGCTAAACACCAGCCAGGGACAAGGCTCTCCAGGCACCGGGGACAAGGCACAGCATGGACGAGTCACTGGGTTTAGACCCTTCGGAGGAACCACAAAGTGCCGACCCGCAAGATGCCTATGAACGTGGGCATGGCCCTTACCAGCCACACGAACCGGGCTATGGTCTTGACCAGCCCGGATACAGCCCATATGAGGATGAGATTCCCGATCCCCAAGCCCAGATGCTGGCAATCAAGAATGCAAAAGCCTATTTACTGAAGACCAGCACAAAATCCGGCCTGAATTTGTAAGTCTGAAAAAGGATCGCAGTCAAAAAGGGTAGGAAGTATGAGTGGAGAGAAAGGTAAAAGGACAACAGGAGATATAGAATATAGAACGGGATGTTATACACGCAGTATCTCATCACTGGTGATATTTGCATATGTCCAACATATTTCAGAACCAAAATTCCTAATGGAATTTTATAGAGAGTTCAAAAAGGAATTGATATGATTGAGAGTAAGTTTAAGTTCAGATTCAGCTCATAGATAGATGAGGTATATATTAGAAATGGAAGATGGGAATGCTCTTAATAAGACTAGCTTTAACTCTAATTTGCCTTAACGCTCCATGATTTCCTCTCTTCTAACTATTCCAATGATTTCTACAAAGTTCCAGATTATTATCCTTTACCTTTTTTTACTAGAATAATATTCTAAGACTTTTGTATAGTAAGCCAACAATATTTACATTTATATGACAGATATGATCATTTTGCTAATATACTAACAAAGATCCTGGATGAACAGCCCACAAATGCAGTAGACATAATTGAGAATATCAGCAAGGATGTGAAGTGGGCTCAGTTTCGGAAAAAAATGGACACTCTCCGAGATGAACATCTGATTCCTCCAACATTTGAAGCTGCAGAAAAGTGTAAAGCTCTGTTTGTCAAGGAAGGTGGAGAAGAAGAACATGAAGAAGTAGAAGAAGAGATGGTGAGTTTTTATCGGAGTGAAACAGGTACCAAATATACCAGGGAAGGGGTGGGTGGATGGTGGGAAGGGAAAGGGGAAAGGGAGGAAGTTGTGGTTTCTTCTGTAGGACTGCCCCTCCTGACCATACAAATAACTGCAGTCACAGCACCATGTACCCTCTTCACAGCTGACCTCGTCCCATATCTAGTTCTGAAGAAAAAAAACGATCTGTTTACTTAGTTGTGATTTTTTTCCTGTAGTAAATCTAATATCCTGAGCCTTTATAACCAGGGATGTTCTAGAGAAGAGGAACAGAAAGTAAGGTTTATAATATCTCCCATATGCCAGTTCAGCACAGAATATTGCATCCAAGTTTATTTTCTTTATATAAAAGGGATGTTTCTTTACCTAAAGTGACCATAATTCTTGATGCAAGTTAGACAATATTGTGCACAGCTGCTACTGTAAAATAGTAGAATGCAGAATTTTGTGATTCTTCCAGCTCCTGGTTGGTTCCAGTCTGTCCTTCTCCAACTGAAACAATATATAGTTTTAATGAAGAACTAATACCACTGAAAAACACTTCCTAAAACGGGATTTTTCATTATTCACTTGTTTATATGCAGAATCATTCTCATCTTATAATGAGAAATACAAGAATATAAATGAGAATTATAACAGCCAAGGAAAATCATTCAACAAGATGTTGATTTTCATATGAAGTTAAACAGCATGTTCAAATTAATTACCATCACAGACTACAAATACCAACCACAGAAGAGATAATCCTTCATATTTTCTATAGCCTCTTGTGTATCTTACATTAACAGTATAGGATGCTGAAAATGGACAAAAATGTAGGACAAAAATTTCAGAAAGGAATTCTGAATTTTTCATACTCCTGTCAATTTTCCTTTGATATAAGAAACCTGTCAGATTGAAAGAAATTCCATATGAAACTAGCACTCATTCTTCCAAATTCCTCCCCCTGTCATATCCAACTTCTGACAACTCTGTCGGTGTTGTATGATCACCTATCCTCTATTTAATGAGGGTGGTAGAGCAACTGGAAATATTTAATTATTGGCCTTGTTCTGCTTCCACTGAAGCCAGATGGAGTCTAAAAGTGGACTTAGATAAGAGCAGGGGGCAATATTTTAAAAACTGCAAGGAGCTGTATGCCAAGCAACATTCACCCCAGTGAAGTGTTGTTGGTCTGGTGCCAGAATATATAAAATCTCTATTATCTACAGCACAAGGGGCAGCAGTGTCACTGTTTGGCATCAAGGCCTCTTAGCTGACATGTCCTAGCACTGAATCCCTTGTAGATCTTCTGTAAGTATGCTGACTTTTCCTTATTTTGCAGTAATTAGGAGCTGAATTTTGAACTCCTGGGTTCTAAGAGCTGCAGTTCATCTGTGTTCTCTTCTTTACCACTATAAGATTTTCAGTTTTTCTAAATGATAGTAAAAATAATAGTGAACGAATGTCTGTGTCTTGGTTTGAAAAGACAGGTGTCTGCTAAGGAAGGCAGGAGCCTCCCTTGAAATGGAAAATGTAAACCCCCTCCCTCTGAATTATAATCATTTTGAAATGAAGGTTTCTTAGGCAAAGATATGGGAGTAGGAATAACTGAGTTCTTTACTAGTATGTATAAATAAAGAAAAAACCGACAACTTAATAGGAAAATGAAAATAAAATGCAGTAGTACAAGAAACACTGGCAGAATACAACCTGACACCCTGTTGGTCAGGGTGTGGGTAGCAGTCCATTTAAGCAATGGCTGCAGCCCTCCTGCAGTGACAGATGTGCTTCTGTTGAAGCAATGATCCCATAGAACGGTGCAGTTTTCTTCTGAAGGTCTGGTGGTGATGTAGAACAGTCTGGTCTTCTGGGAATCCAGTGGAGAAAGGCTGCCTGTGGTGTTCCAAGTCTCAGATTATATCCAGGTAGGAATGCTTGGCTCCTCCCCTGGGTGGAGCAGCTCCCAATGGGATGATGTCATTTTATCAGTCATGCAGTGAGACTCAATGGCCCATTAACAGAAGAGATCCCCCTGGAGGGAGGATGGGTCATGGAAGAGATAAAGAACAGTGCCCCACTTGGTTTTAACAGATGGTAATAAAATACATACTTTTGGTTACATCTTGCATTGCAACTTAGGACAGTCTGCAAAGCACTTTGAGATGATGAGTGGCACTACAGGAAATGAAGTATAATGTCCAATAAATAACATGTTCAGTTTTTAAAAGAAATAATTATCCTATTCTTTAGCTCTAACTCTGAATCTTCTTTCCTAGGGACAGCCCTCTCTACCAAATGTGATGGAAACAGCCTTTTATTTTGAACAGGCTGGAATTGGCTTGAACAAAGATGAATCCTATTACATATTCCTTGCTCTTAAAAATCTAATTAATCTTCATCCAATCCAGACCTGTCGCTTCTGGGGCAAAATTTTGGGCCTGGAAATGAACTATATTATAGCTGAAGTACAGTTACGGGAAGGGGAAGAGGAGGAAGAAATAGAAGAGGAAGGAGAGGGAAGTATTGCGGAAGGAGAGAAAGAGTTGGGTGAGGGTGAAGAAGAAGAAGAGCAGAAAGAAAAAGAAGCTGAACCACCAAAGTCCACCTATAAACCCCCACCTGAGATCCCAAGAGAAGCAAATGGGACTGGGACTAATAAATATGTCTACTTTGTCTGTAATGAGCCAGGCAAACCCTGGATGAAGTTGCCTCCGGTGACACCAGCCCAGATTGTCTGTGCCAGGAAAATCAAGAAGTTCTTCACTGGTCGGCTGGACGCTCCTGTTGTGACCTTTCCTCCTTTTCCTGGAAATGAGGCCAATTACCTGCGCGCACAGATAGCTCGAATCTCAGCAGGAACCCATGTCTCTCCCACTGGATTTTACCAGTTTGCAGAAGAGGACGAAGAAGAAGAAGGAGCAGATACATATGAAGAAAATCCCGAGTTTGAGCCTCCTCCTGTGGTTGAAATGGTGGAGTCCCTCACAATGTGGGCACACCATGTCAAGGGCATTCTAAATCAGGTGTGTGCCAGCATAGCTCCCATGGACCTCGGATACCGCTCACACTGCAGTGCTTGTAGGGTTACAGAATGTGGATGACATTCCTCACCTGCACATGCAAACTATTCACCAGAAATTATATTGGATGGAAAGATTTTTATACAGAAAATATATTTTATATCATGTATAATACCAAAATATCTTGCATATAAAACATTTATTTTATATGGTATATAATATGTAGATATCTTGCATGTATTTACATATACCAGATATATATATGTATTTAGGGAAGTTCTAGGTTTAGTACTTTTTCCAGTGATGTGTTCTTTGAAACCTATAGATTGAAACCTGTCTTTAAATAACAGTATGGAGCTAGGCCCTGATAGATAACAATCATTTCTTGCAGTCTTCTGTATTAGGTTTTCTGCTTTGAGATCCTTATTTGACAAAAATGTTTAAAAATATCTTTTCTTGGGTAGGGTGCTAAAAAGCAGATAGTTTATGTTTGTATGCCAGATGGAACTTATTTGGTGTTTTCTTGTGTTTAATTTTTTGTTTTATACTTTCTGCTTTTAAGCATTCAAATGAAAGAAACTTAAAAACATGTTCTATCAGACAAGTGCTAGAAAGAGGTATTACTAGTTAGGTTTTCATTGCTGGATGGTTTGATGGCCAGTCTTATCAATTCAAGGATGCTAGTGTAAAGTAACAGCAAATGATAGGAAATAAGGTTTAGAGTGACTACCAGCCAAACAATAGTTGTAAGAAATAAAATTTATATGCATTAGAATCTTAAGAGCATTCTGTTGTGTTTCTCAGACTCATAACCAAATAACAAAGTGGATTTTAAGAAGAATGGGTAAACCCATAGTTTGTAGTAACTGTTAATCCAAACTGGCCAGGAACTGAAGAATACAAAATTACAAAAGGCTGATTACAGAGGTATAAGGTTATTCTCAAACAGTAAGCAGGAATGAATGAGGGGAGGAGTGAGGGGAGCATTCTGCCAAGAGAATACAATATTCTGTTAACAACGTATCAGTTATGGGATACTTACTTTTCTTCTCCCCATCCCTTAACTGTGTGTGTGTCTGAGCCAATTGTTTTAACTAGTTTTAACCTGTATTCTTTAAATGATTGTTACATGTATTTATTACTTTTCCACATCAATTATAGGGTCGCTGTTCTTGGATTAATCCTTCTCAAAAATCAGAGGAAAATGAAGAAGAAGATGAAGAGGAGGAAGAGGAGGAGGGAGAAGAGCAACAGGAAGAAAGAGGACCACCCCTTCTTACTGTAATCTCTGAAGATGAAGGTATTCTTCATGGAATATGAAGTTTTTGACAGAGAGTCACTAGGAATATTGTCATTTTGCAGTAAATATTTGAAGTTACAGAACTCTGACACTTCTCGGAGGAATATACCTTGTCACTGTAGGGTAAACACATTATTTTACAAAATCAATCAAAAGCAAAATGTTTAATAGTATTGACATTAAAACTGAAATAATCAGGTTTACTAGGTAACCATCTTATTGAGATTAAAAGGAAAAAATAACTTAGACTTTTCATTTATTGCAAGTTCAAAACTTGAAATACATTCAGCTTTTTATCTCTTCTTTTTAGGAAAAAAGATAAGGGTCTGTATATGTGTAAATAAATATAATGTTTAATATATACACACATGCACTGATATACATTAGTTGTATAAGAATTTAGATCTCTTAGCATACCACTGCAGCAAATCATCGGAATAAGGGAGCCTGAATATTAGATTACATCAATATTTGATTATTTTCCTACTCTGTTCTTTAATCAAGGTGAAATATAGCTATAGAATTTATCTATAAGTGATTCAAAGTCCTTGACAAAAGAACCAGGGGTGAGTGCTACTGATTTTTTTCTGTATGTGGGGGGGGGTCTACCAGCATTCCTGTGCTACCTACCCATACATGCAAACTACCTGTTTGAAAACAGTGCCTACACTTACTGTTTCTGACTTCTGGCTCTTCTGTTGTGCAACTTAATATAAACCTTGCTTGAATTCTGTGCAAGTCTTTTAGCTCAGTCTAAAATACTTTTTTAGATGCTCATCAAGTCCATCTTTTCATAGACAATGTGTGTTTGGCTGTCTCCAGGCATGAAAGACATCCCTGCTTGGACAGCTCAGGCTTCTACAAACCTGATCCCGCAATATTCTATTGCAATCCTGCAGTCTAACCGATGGCCTGGAGCTTATGCCTTTGCTTCTGGCAGGTGAGAGTCCACCTGACAAGGTTACAGCACTGACTGTATATGCTACACACAGGTGCCTCTCTAATGCAGGCAGAGTTACTTTATTATTAATTCATGGACTGAATTCTAACTATTCCAGAGACTGGTGGAGAAGGCCACTTAAATGTGCACAGCAACAGTAAATATGTATTTAAGACTGAAAACAAATAATCATTGGAAAGACTAGTGTGAAGTTAATGGATGTAAATGCTGAGTTAGTATTTGAGCACAGTCCTTGATTTAAAACATATTCTTGTGTCTGTGGGACATTTTACAAAACTAGCTATATTCTGTAGTTATAATGTTAATTTGTTTCCACTACACATGATTATTGCCTCCATGTTTATTTCCACTACATAGTCATTCCATTACACTGTATTGCAGTGCAGTGACACTTCATAATTTTAAATAGATGTATTGATAACCATTAGAGCAGTTAAAAAGAGGTACCATGTTTAAAATTCTTCTGCTATAGGATATCTGCACCACAGTGACTTCTTGCGCAGCAGAGTAAGGATGCTTGACAGTGTCTCTGCTACTATTTTGTCAGGGGATGAATGTGTGATCTTTCACTTCTCTTTCCCAGGAAATTTGAGAACATCTACTTTGGCTGGGGTCACAAATACAGTTCAGAAAGTCACACTCCTGCACTGCCCCTGCCAGCACAAACAGAATTCCCCACCGGGCCAGAAATCACTGAGACCGTAGACCCCACTGTGGAAGAGGAAATGGCTTTCAAGGTTGCGCAGGAAGAAGCCTTAGCCGAAGCTGAGGAAGAGGAAGATGAGGAAGGGGAGGATGATTAAAATATGGAAGAAAACAGATTTTTTTAAAAGTTTGAACATAATCAGCATTTAATGTAGTCATTTATTTGCTGACCTCAAAAGAAATGCATTTGGAGTGTGCCTTCTTTTTTGATTTCTGTAGGCTTTTCTTTGCAGCTATCTTCCTCTCCTTCCCTACCCCTCAAACCTGCCCACGCTGGCATGAAGGCTTTTTCTATGTTTGTTTGACTAAGCAAACACAGTCTGCTTCCTAAAATGATACCTTTGAACTAAGAACTACCACCCAGCAGATGCTCACACTTTCTAGTCAATGCATATATACATTTTACTTAAATAAATTTTTAAAAAATCCCATGAGTGTCACTTTTACATGTAAAAGCGTGCTATCCAGATTCGGTAGGCAGCTTATTGAGGTACGGGCTGAGTGCAGGGCAGTGACACTGCTCATCATTGGCACTCTGGGGGCTGCGCCTCCACTCCCGTGCTCAGTTTTGGGACTCTCAGTGCAAGACGTGGAGATGCTCGAGAGCATCCCGAGAAGGGCGGTGGAGCTGGGGAAGGGTCTGGAGCACAAGTCCTGTGAGGAGCGGCTGCAGAAGCGGGGAGTGTTGAGCCTGGAGAAAAGGAGGCTCAAGGGAAGCCTTATCGCTGTCTACAGCTGACTGACAGGAGGGGGTAGCCAGGTGGGGGTCGGCTTCTTCTCCCCAGTTACAAGCGACATGACAAAAGGAAACAGCCTCAGGTTGCACCCGGTTCACATGGCATATTAGGGAAAAAATCCTTAATGGAAAGGGTTGTCAGCCTCGGGACAGCTGCCCAGGGAAGCGGGGGAGTCAGCATCGCCAGGGGTGTTTAAAACACCCGAGTATGGGGACGTGAGGATACACCCCGAGCGGTACCACCTGGGCGCTGCCGGCAGGCGAGGGGGGTGGGGCGGGGAAGGTGTCGCGGGAGCCCTCAGGGCCTGACAGTCCCTGACCGTGGCCGCCCGCCCACATCTCCCCGCCAGCTTGTGCGAGTGGTGCGCTCCGCGCACGGCGTGCGTCCCTCGCGGGCCAATAGGGAGCGGCTGCGGGCGCAGTTCAAACTGCGGCGGCGGTTGGGGCGGGCGCTCCCTGCTCCCGGCGCTCCCGGGCCCGTCCCTTGTCCCGGTTCCGCTCCTCCTGTCCCGGGCGGGTATGGCGGACGAGGGCGCCGTGACGGTGTGCGTGCGTGTTCGGCCGCTCATCGCCAGGTGAGCCGCCGGGCGGGCGGCAGGGGGAGGCTCCCTCCGCCCCCCTGGGTGCTGCCGTGCTCCCGCACCTGGGGCAGGGAGGCGGACGGAGGGGCCCGGAGCGAGGGGCTGGCACCCCTCGCAGGGAAGAGGGGGTCGCGGTAAGGGGCCGTGTTTTGGGAGCAAAATCCTCGCCCAATAAAGGTAACAGAATGTCTCTTCTTTTAGAGAAAATGCCTCAGGAGATAAAGTGTCCCTGCACTGGAGAAGTGAGAATAATACTGTTTCCGACGTGAATGGTACCAAAATATTTAGTTACGGTAAGAATGCGAAAGCAATTGCTTTACTTAGATGCTTACGCGGAACTTTGCTATTGTACTCATGAGCGTGTCGGCTGTGGTGAATGCCGTGAGCTTCTTTAAATGCCCCGCAAGCCTCCCAGCTTCGTATTTCCGAAGGAGTGTCATGGGGGGACACAGGATTTCTGGTGGAGGCAGTACTGGGATGCGCTTTTGGGATCAGCTTCCTGAGGGACGTTGCTTTCTCTGTTCTGGTTCATGCCGTAGTGGCTTTGGAACATGTTTGTTTGCTCTGAAATCCAGTTACGAGTGGACTGAACAAGGGCTAGTCCAGAGCATTTAGGGAGAAGGGTATGGGAGAACACAATCCCAGAAGTGACTAGTGTGAGTGTTGGATCCTCATAACTAACTGCATCCCTTTGAGCCTTCTCATACTGATCGACTTTACTTGTTAGTGTGAATGTAGCCACTACAAATATTTTTCCCAAAATACAGATTCAATGAAAGCATGCACCAGGCTAGGAGTTTAACAATTAACGTGTCCTGTCAGGCTTCATCCTTGTAGATAAATTAGCCAAAATTTTGTAGGATTAAATGGGATGACCATTTAACTGTTCATCATTCTTAGGGTTGTTTTTTTTTAACTTGTCTATCATCTGTGCATTGTGTCTTTCTTGATTTTGTGTTTAATATTTATTTTAAAATAAAACTCTAAAAGCTTTGTGTTAGTGATGTTATAATTATATTTATATTTTAATTAACCTATAAACAATTATGCAAATTTACTGGATTTGAAGCCAGAAATACTAAAAGACAGCTTGTTTTGGTTTGCAATAGAGTGTATTCACATGCTTTGTATTTTTTTTTGTTTCAAGATCGTGTCTTTCACTCAAGTGACAACACTCAGCAGTTGTATGATGGTGTAGCTGTTCCAATTATACAGTCAGCTGTGCGAGGCTATAATGGTAAGTTTTAAAACTGTGTTTAAATCCTTTTTGTAATGTATTTCAATTCTATTAAATTGAAATGACTGAAAGGACTAGTCATATTTGTGATGGTTACATTAAAGTTAATTTTAGTATCAAGAGGCTTATGAAGGAAATTAATTTATATTGAACTATATGTTGCAGTTACTAGCCTGACAAAGATGAGTGTTTCAAACAAAAAACCTAATGGGACTCTATTAGTTGAAATCAAATCAGAAAAAAACTGAGGAGCAAAACATGTGAAGTGTGGAATATGAACAAAACATATTCCAAATATATCAAAACATATTCCAAATATATTAAACTGATTACAAATAAAAATAGGTACTCACTTGTTAATGTGGTAGATAAGATAATGTGAAGCTTTGTGTTTATTCTGCTATTTTAAAAGTCAAAAAAATTAACAGTTAAAGACTGCTTTTTAGCAGGAAGAATATGACACAGTATTTACTTATTTCAGGCTTACAAAAGAATTGCTAATTCTTTTGTAAGAATTAATATTCTCAATATTAATAAAAGTAAGGACAAAGTGTACATTAAAACACTGATTCCCAAAACAGAGTGCTTGCTTCTGCCTTGAGCATTTCAGGTAATTGTGAAGTGAAATGGTCTCTGCTCTTTTAAGGAGGTGCAGAGTACCCTTAGAGGGTTTATAGAAGTAAACTAAAAGCAAGAAAATTTTCCTTGAGTCTGTTGTGCTGCCTTTCCTCACCCCAACATTCTCTACCAAGGAGGCAGGGGAAGAAGGAGCAGCAGCAAAGTAAATCTACGTAAGCAAAGAGAGAAGGCAAGGTATACAGAGAAGAAGGAGCCTAAGCAGGAGGAAATTGGTTATGGAAATGGCATTTCAGTAGGAGAATTATTGTCATGCTTCTGTAGGGCTGTTATCTTAATTTTGTAGCCTTGTAGAAGTGGTATACCATTAATACAGGTGGAAAGAGGTGGGATAGAAGAAAAATTATTCTATATTGGTAGATGCTAATGTACAGAAAGAATGAAGGGAAAGAGATCTGTGGAACAATGTTCAAACCTTTATCTCCAATATAAGAATACTTGCATTAAAAGATGTCCATCAGTCTGGTTTTTATTTGGTTTTTTGTTTGTTTTGGTTTTTTTTTCCTTTCAACATTAGATTCCAGATAGAGAATTCCTGCTAAGGGTTTCTTACATGGAAATCTACAATGAGACAATTACTGATTTGCTTTGCGATAATAGGAAAAAGAAGCCTCTGGGAATTCGTGAGGATGTTAATGTAAGTGGCTGTTATGTATAAGTATTGTATCTGCTTGGAGTAAAAGAAGTTGGGGAAGAAAACGCCCTCAGAAGCATCCAGTAGAAAACTTTTCTGCGACAATCTGTGTAACTGTATCTTCAGCATTAGGAAACTTTTTTAATCTGTTGTTTGTTTCTTGTGCTCTTAGGCCACAATTGTGGTCAGAGTCTAAACTTTACCCATCCCTTGCATTTGGAGTAAAAAGACATTCAGCTGTTGAATAAATGCCATAATAATTGCTGGTAAAGTTAACTTTATGTATTGAAGTGTGTTTTGGAGTTCAGCAAAATTTATTACTCTGTTTATTCTATAGAGGAATACATATGTAGAAGATCTGATTGAAGAAGTGGTGGTTTCCCCAGAACAAGTTATGGAATGGATCAAAAAAGGAGAAAGTAAGTATTTAGACAATGTCAGCTGATAGCTTAAAAAAGTGTGTGTAATCAGGTATATTTAGAACCATGGAGTATCCCTTTTGGTTTATATTAATAAACCAAAGTTTTTCAGGAAGTTTTAAAATTGTGCTTTTTGTCTATTTATCCCCAGTTTATCAGATAAGCAGAAGTATTCTAATACTGTTTTTGACAGGAAATCGCCATTATGGAGAAACAAAAATGAATGAACACAGCAGCCGTTCTCACACTATCTTCAGAATGGTAAAAACTGTTTCACTACTGGGAGCCGTTTTATTGTTTTCAAAGTAACAAAAACTTCATTGTACTTCATTGCATTTCTAGATCATTGAAAGCAGAGAACGAAGTGACCTTGCAAATGCAAACTGTGATGGAGCAGTCATGGTTTCCCACTTGGTAAATGTCTATTTAATATGGGGTACAGCTTAACTAGAGAATTTACTGTTACTGGTTGTTTGAGACACTAATGGTACTTCATCATGACTTACAAGAATTCTTTGTTGTTAACTCTGACAGATGTTTCTTAAGTATAGAGGGAGACTACTGTGGCATTATCTAGGGAAGATGTTCCCACCAGAGGGAATTCTACATGAGAATTATTCATGCTGGACTGGGGAGTGTCATGATCTTCTAGGAGCATAAGGGACTATGTCAGAGAGCTCTTGCATTTTGTTAAATATATCTTCCTTACAATTGTTTCTGACAATTGCCAAGTCCTGTGAAATATCTTGTAGAATGGGTAACCTTAAGACTTCCCTTATCCTCAAATTTAGCTGTTGTTAAAATAACATATGGCCTACATCTGCAATGGCCAAAAGATTGGTTTTTTTCCAGAAGTAACCCCACTTAGCATCTTTTTGGTGGATTACTGGTATATGAAATACTGTAAACTGGGGGGAATACCATTGGACATCTCTAGGGAAATATTAAGGTTTCAGAAACCTTTTCTACGGCCTTTCCTTGAATCTCAGAAAATTATCTGAAACAACTGCAGGAATGGAACCAATGTGAAACTATTTTGCTTTTTTTTTGTGAAACAATGTTAAAATCTGATGAGCACTCTTACTCAGAATTGGAAATAGCATTAAGTTATTCACATGCTTTATGGAAAGAGCCTTCTGTTCTGGTTTCACATGAAAAAGCTCTGAATGTAGGTGCTGCTCATGCAATATCTCAAGAAACTAACACATGTTTTTTGTGCTTACCATAACTTCTGGTATCCACTCTTCCTACACCACCCCCTCCGTCCCATCTCAGTTCCAACTGACTTTAGAGTAACCACGAGTAACAGGGGTGAGGGGAGAGGGATTTTGGCCCTCTTGGTTTGTTACTGTTCAGTGGAGTTAATACAGGATTTTACTCCTCTGAATCACTAAACTAAGGGTTACTTGCTCAGGCAAATCATTATGGGATGCCGTAATGTTCTAGTTGGCTTTGAACCAGGTCCAGAACCCAGAGGTTTTTCTTCTGGTAGTTCATTTCTTTTCCTTATCTCCACAATGACAGCAAGGAGAGATATACAGCCAGCTTTGGACAGGACACCAGATAATCTCACGTAGACTCTTTCCCATGAAAGATTCCTACAGCTGAAATTAGTAGTTAACACTTCTGTATTGAGAAACTGTGCTTATCTTCTTGTGACTGAGGGTAGAGGTTGTTGTACTGCGAGTTTGAAACACTATTTGGGGTAGAATAATAGAGTTCATACAAAACTTACCCCACACCCTTGTGTACCAATATTTGAAAATATTGGTTGTGTGTTGTAGCTGTGCATTAATTCCAGTAATGACAGACCCTTTGCTTTTTTTTTTTTTTCCCCTTGAAGTTTAAATTTAGTTTATGGAATTCTCAGCAGAGATTTAGAATTATGATGACTTAAAGTAAATTGCCTCAGAACTAACCTGTGAAATATTTAATGAATTTGCAGAACCTGGTAGATCTGGCAGGCAGTGAAAGAGCTAGTCAAACAGGAGCTGAAGGTGAGTGTTAAACGAGGCTCCACTGACAACAACTTGTGTTAATTAACCCTTATGAGAAACTATGATAGAAAGGAAATAATTTGATCCATGTGCTATTGTGTTATTTATTGTTTATAAATAAGGCCTTTTCCCCTTGTTAGGACAGGATCTACTCAGGAAAAGACTGTAAATGCTGTGAAGTGCAAACAGTTAAGTAGTAATATGCCTTTTCTAGAATTGCAGACCCAGCAACAGTCCTCCACTGAACTAATAGAATGGAGGTGACTCAGTGAAGATGCACTTGTAATAACAAAATCACAAGAAGCTTTTTAGGGACTTGTGTGTAAAGGTGAAGAGTGAAAAGATGGCTCACTCTTTAGTTCAGAGGAAGCTTGTCTGTTAATAGTGACAGCATGAAGCTGCACAAAAGTGCCTTGATCACAATAAAGTGATCTGAGAGGGTCACAAGTAAGTCTCTCTTACAAAGAATTACTAACCTAAAACTTTTATCTAAGACTGGTTTGTTATATGTGTAAATGTGGGCATTTGCAAAATTTAAACAGGAAGCAAAATTGTAATTCTTATGGGCTCAGGTGCTTATTGTGTAAAGGTTCTAAATGTTTACTTTTGATTACTGTTTTATTTCAGTGCAGTTTGGCTATCATAAAGGATTGGGTACTGCCTGCTGATGGATAAATAGGGCATTGTGGCACTTAAGGTTTAACTCTTGTACAATCAATCCCTCTGAGCATAACATAGCACAAAACCTTGACAGGTTGAAAATGTATCTTAATATTGTTTGAAATTTAAAATAATGATAAAATGTGTGGTACCTAGGTGTTCGACTGAAAGAAGGCTGCAATATAAATCGGAGCTTGTTCATTCTGGGCCAAGTTATCAAAAAACTTTGTGATGACCCTTCTGGGTAAGCAACTGTTTTTATACGTGTTCTAAGATAAAGCACTGCTAAACTAAGAAATTAAAATCCTTTATTTATGAACTTATGTAGGTAACTGTTTCAAATAACCTATTACCTCTAGAAAATATATTTATGATGTTTATGCAGAAATCTAATTTTTTTGTTGTTGTTGCCTCTTTTTTGTTAGCTTCATAAATTACAGAGATAGCAAGCTGACTCGAATTCTGCAGAACTCCCTTGGAGGAAATGCTAAAACAGTTATTATTTGTACAATTACTCCTGTTTCTTTTGATGAGACACTCAGCACTCTTCAGGTAAAGCTTCTAACCTCTTCTCCAGCACTAGTCATTGTAGACAGGTTTGAGGGGTGGAAAACATCATCTGCTGGATCTTTAATGACTTGGATCTTCTGAAGGACTTCTGTAAA